ACGTCTGGGGTTAGCCGGACTAGAGTCTGCGGGGCGCGAGCCTCGTTGCAAGCGAACAACACACACCATGGTCGCTGCTCCGGGAACTTCAGTACAAAAGTTGTGTACGACGGACTGACGTCGATTGAGAGCCATGGAAACGAAAGTTTAACTAGAAGGCATGCAGATGTGCGCTTCATTTAACCTCTTAGCTTGCGCGTGTTACGCAGGAGTCGCTGGACTCAAGATCCTGAGTTGTGAACTGTCCACCACCTCCCCGCCCGTCCTCCCTCTGTTTTTGTTTTCTTCTATTTATCGCCACCGTCCGAAAATCACGGCCTGCCAACCATCAACAACCCGTGTCCGGGCGTGTAGGCGATTTATGCCGCCGCGGCGAACGCCCTGGCTGACGTGGGGGAGTGGGAGTGGTGCCTGGTTCTGCTCGAGGAGCTGGAACAGCTGGACGCGGACCAAGACGACAATGCGACGGGCGCCGCTGCTACTACGGCCGCAGCCCTCAGCCCACCCCCGCCCGCAGGAGTAATGCTAGCCAGCGGTGGCGACGACAACATCAACGAAGAACGAGAAGTCCCAGAAGACGGGAGAGGAGACGCCGCCGCCCCTGAGACGGTCCTCCGGGTGGAGTTGGACGAGAGCGGCGCCCTGGCCGCCCCCGCTTCCGCTACCTCCAAGGAGGAGGAGGAGGCGGCGTCGGCGGCGGAGGCCGCCGCCGCTGCTGCCGCCGCCGCGTACACCGCCGCCGTGCGCGCGTGCGGGAAGGGCGGCGCCGGCGTCCAGGCCGTCGTGGGGCTCCTGGAGCGCATGAGGTGGGCCGGGGTCGATCCCGGGGAGGATGCCTACGCCGCAGCGATCTCGGCGTTCCGCGCCTGCGGCGGTGCCCGGGAAGGGGAGGAGGCTTCGGGCCGCGGCGTGTTGTCTGCCGAGGAGGCCGCGAGAGCTCTCGTTGAGCACGAGACAGGCCGCGATGGCGCCGCGGACTGGGCGAGCCCGTTTTTGTACAGGTGCGAGTTGTTGTGGTGTTGTTGGCGTGTGGGGGAGTGGTGTTGCTGTTGCCCAGCGAGGGGTTTCCTCTACCTGGGCTTGCACAGCCGTATCGGAAAGAAAGCACGGCCAACGTTGTTTCCTATCGGCGTGGTTTGATTGCTACTGTGCGCAGCCACCTGCGTTGTCGCTATGCATTTCGTGCATGTCGTGCAACAGAAGGGCCGCTGTTGTCGCCCGCTTCCAAGCGGCAGGCGAAAGCTATCCCGACGCTCATTCACCCCCCGCCCCCGAAACGTTTCACGGGATTCGCGAGCGGGTCGGCTGGTCTCGCGGCGGAGGGGGCCCAGCCGCATCAACTGTGTCATGTTTGGTGGTTGTCTATATCGAAACCCGCAAGCATTGATGTTGCTCTGCTGGCTCCTCGCAAAGAACGGTTCATAGCTTCGTTGCCCCCTCTATTCGACCCGCCTCCTAAATTGCGTTTGTTCTGCCTAACTCGATGTCCATGTCTCTTTAATGCCTGCTTGCGTTCGATTTTGATCCCTTTTTTTTTTTTTGCGATGCCTTACTGGATGTCCATGCCCCCCTCTCCCTCTTTCTGTCTGTCTGCCTGCGAATCTTCGATCCGTTATTTTCTTCTTTTTTGTTTTTTTGCGATGTTAACCGTATAGCGCCGCCGTCAAGGCTTGCGCTGAGGCCGGAGAATTCGCCGCCGGCAGGCTGTTCTTCGTCGAGGGCCGTCGGGCCGCCGGCGTCGCGACCGACGACGCGGCCGAGGTTGCCGCTGCCGCCGTCGCCGCCGCCGCCGCCGCCGCCGATTCCGGCACCGCCCCGAAACGCCCCGCGCGCGTCAACCCCGGCGTAGAGGCCGTGTACATGTCGTGCCTGACGGTGAGGCTAGACTGGGTTGTATCGGTGTCGGTTGCTGTTGCTGTTCTGTGTGTGTCAAGGAAGAACCGTTTGCGGTATTTGGGGAGAGATGTATGGCACGCATTTTTCTTTGTTCTTGGCGGCTGCGCCCACTTGCGGTTGGTCCCCGCTCGTGTAATACGGTGTGCAGGCCAGGGGTAATACTCGTGTGCTGTCCGAATGAACTGGTAGGGCAGTAGCAGGGCTTGGCACGGTCCGCCTCGCGCACAAAACATATCTCTACTACACCGCCAGCCGCAACATTTTTGGTGGGAGAGCCCGAACGCCGCCGCCCGACCTAAAAAGAAAACTAAGCACAGCGCCCCACCAATCCGTCGTTCCCGTTCTGATGCGCGCCGCGTTTGTCTGTCGTTGCCGATTCCAACGCCCATCAAAACCGCGGGGGGGGGGGGGGGG